TTGTATGAGACTTTTTAAACCAGGCCCAATTACACATCTGTAATCAGGGTAAAATAAAACAGTCACTTTTATCTTTCCGTTGATTCTAACATAAATGTGTGTGCACGTGTATGCGTGTGAGCCCATGCATTTCAGCTTTCAGTTCTCAACTACCCAGCACTAAAAATTACTTCCTCTGTTTAGTCTCTGCTGCCTCAGGTATAGTGCAGACAGCCATAATGTAAGTTTTGTCACTTGATGTTGTCATTGACTCTAAGCTGATGGTAGATCACAAACACATGGCTGCAGTATTCTGTACAGAAACTAGAGACGTTAACTGTATCAGCTGGACTGTGTTATACTAAATATGGCAGGGTAGCAAAAAAGGCTGGAGCCTTCCAAAGAACACAGCTAAACCCAGATATTTTCTACCAAATTGGCTTTGAGGAATCCCTTTCTAGGACCACGCTCTCTCCCATTCTGCCCACACATAACCAAGCATCAACAAATGTGCAGAGAGCCACATGAAATTGGTGTCACATAGACAAAATGGTTTTATCGTATGGAATTGCATTATTATTATTACTATTATTATTTCCTTGATTATGAAAAAAGCATAACCTAGAGCAGGGTTAGTCAACCTTGGCAACTTTAAGACGGGTGGACTTCAACTCCCAGAATTCCCCAGCCATCACACTCCAACAGCTTGTCAATGAGAACATCATATAAGCTTCACATTTCTCCCTGTTGTGGCAAGTAACTTCATTCATTGTACTCTTCAAGAAGTCTTCATGATGACAAATGAAATAGAAGCATGGTAATCTCACCGCCTTTAAAACTTCTACTACCTGACACTTGCAGCAAATGAAATCCACTTTGCCTTCTGATAGAAGGGTACACAAGGCATGCTTGCTATCAGTGCCTGCCAGAACCTCACCTCTGGACATAACATATCCTACATACTATGGAAAAGAAAGGTAAGTGGTGCAGCTTGATTATGTGCCATCAAGACATTTTCAAATTCCCAGTGACCACATAGATAGATTTTCTCCATGACAATCTATTCCTAACCTGTCCATTCATGTCTCCCAACAGTGCACTCATTGCCACTGTAAGTGTCCACCCCCCTGGCTTCTGGTCATCCTTTTCTTCTTTCCTTCCACCTTTCTCAGCATTAGAGTCTTTTCCAGAGAGATAGGTGCAGTGTCTAAAGTAGGATAACTTGAACCTGAAGTGGTAGAGCTACTAGCTTTGTAATCTATATGCCATTAACCTGAGCCAATCAGAGAAATTCCAACCTTTCTGCTACTCTTTCTGTATATCTGGCTTCTGACTTCTTCTGCCATTTTGACTCCTGCTAACTGCATAGACAAGCCCTTACAGCTTTTTTGCCAGCACTTTTGAGAGATTACTTGCAAATAAAAAGAAAAAACTGTATAATATCATTATCTGAATTAACAGTTACAAGAACTAGAATTTATTCCCTCACTTTCTACTTAGAACACTTCACTAATCTATTTCCTTGAGACTATGCATGTTAATTTTTACCTATTTCTTAGGCTACAAGAAGGATATACAGATCAAAGAAGTGAACCCGCTGCTTAAGTATTAGTTTGAACAGTCAGGCAAAATCCAACCTCTGTGCTGGTCAGTGTGACCTCAGATCACTTCCCAGAATATACCAAGAGTATGTAAATTATCCCGAAGAATTGGTTCTCAGACTACTAGCCTGAGTTAATCAGAAAATTCCAACATGCCTAACAGCCTTTCTGCTCACTTCCCAGAATACATCAGGAATATGCAAATTACCCAGTCAGGCCACTTAAATCCTAAAATCCTCTGTTGATTAGATGAGCCTGGAAGCAGTTTGATTCTAGCAGCTTCCCAGGGTGCTTTGCATGGAGAAGCCATCCTGGGACCCTCCATCACTGAGTTGTTATTGCCAAGAATCAGTGGTTGTTTCTCCAACTACGCCACGGTTTCTTTTTATTTTATCATTATTTCCCATTAAGAAACCCGTCTTAAAGTTGCCAAGGTTGAGGAACGCTGACTTAGAGTAATATGTCAAAGCCAATACTGTATTTGACTTCTAAGTGTGCATAGGTATAGTTCTTCTTTCGATTAGTAGGCATTGTCGGGTCCTCGTTTTCCTTTCTTACCCATCCCCTTTTCACTCCTATAATTTACCTGAATTAGAGCTACCAGATCTGCGCTGCAAAGATCCAGACAACCACTGAATGGCAACAAAGAATTAGAGTTTTCAGCATCTCCTTTCCACCATCTAATGGTTGTCTGGATGTTTGCAACCCAGAACCATCAGCCTTAAATGAATAAAAATATGCATTTAGAATATGCAATCAATTTTGTAATATCTATTTTTCTGCTTTCCTTTCTACATTAATACAATTCGTATGTATGTCAGAGAAGGGTGATGTTCATGTTCCACATGAGGACTATGTGGATTCCCACTGCTAGTCCTCATGAGAAGTGTAGTTGCCTTCCCCACCACCTGGGCCTTGTGATGAGATGAGACAAGTCTTCCCACCCAACATCTACTATAGGAGACCTAAACAGCACATGCCATCACATGTACAGTGTGTTACATTTATTCCTTGAGTTTGCTACATTTGTAAAGCTGTCAATGCTCAACAGCAATATTTATTAATTTAAACTTGTTAAAGCTCTGATTATTTGTTTTAGAAGCTTCTTCTTCCGGACTGCATAGCTGAAGCAGCAGCCCTAGGCATCTCTATGCAAATTCTTCAAGTCCATGCTCTGCTCTGACCTGGAGGCAAGTTCAGACAAGGCCATCAAATTTTCTGTCTGCCTGTTTGTCTCAAAAGATCACAATGACCCCTTACATGCCCTCAAATGTCCTTTCTTCAAGCAGAGAAACAGGGAAGATTTCCCTCTATAAAAAGTGTTTGGCCAGAGAGACAATGGTAGACCATTATAATTCCCACAAGCACCAGCACTTTTGTTGATTTGGAAGATCATAAAGGAGGGAAGCAGAACTGCACAACTCCAGTGATCTAACTAATAATAACTTGAAACAGATCCCACTTAGGTTACTTATTGGAACATAGGAAGCGGCCCTACATGGATTCATATCATTTGGACCACCCTTGTCCAGCACTAGTACAACTAAGCAGGATTTCTCCCCTCTGGAACCTAGGAGGCCTCCAAATTATCTTCTGAGAGTAGCAAGTAATGGAGAAGTTGCAAAGATATCCAGAGCCAGCATCTAAGTATAGTAGGAACCAGTAGAGCTTAGCTGCTCACCACAGCATTTAGGCTGGTCATGTACATGATCATGCATGCTAATTTTATTATGGTTATATTAACTCCACATCAAAAATAGCATTTATTCCCAACACTGTATTTACTACCACAGCAGCAGCAGTTGTGATGGTGTCATGATTTAAGCAAGCTGAAAAGCTGAAACTGCATATAGTGTAGTGGTTAAGGCATTAGATTGATATCAAAAAGACCCAGGTTTGTGTCTACCCTTAGCTATGGAAGCCCGCTGGGTGACTTTTAGCCAGTCACTCTCTGTCAGCTCAACTTACTTCACGGGGTGGTGGTTGTAGGGAAAAATAGGAGGAGGGAGTATGTGTATGCCACCTTGAGCTCCTGAACGAAGGCAACATATAAATCAAATGAATAAATATTCTCATGATGTTTCTTTTGTATCAAGGTTGGCACGCGAACCTCATTTTTCTCACAACAGGAATGTAGAAGTATTTGTGTGTTTTGCTTGCTTTTTAGTAGCTTTGATTGTACAGTTTTAATCAGCACACAACATTATATCTGAACATGATATATCCTTTAAAACCAAATCAATACAAAAAGCAGCATCTTCAACAATACACATCATTTAAAACACAAGCAATAAAACATCCTAAATAACTGTTCAATATGCTCATATTGCATTGTGACTCATCAAAGGTGTGATGCCTTACTCTAGCATTCCATATGTTCTTTGGAGTAACCAAAGTTTTCAGCAACTTTCTAAACACCAGAAATAATGGTAACATATGGAATGGTGGGGTGTGCTGGAACTGTACATTGAACAGTAACTCTGGGGTCTCACATATCTTAGACGGAACTACAATTCAGCATTCTAGACAACATGTTGTGACCTAATCAATATTACTCAGTTCCACTCCAGTGCTAAGAGGGACTAGGTGCTGAATTCTAGGAGTTGAAGTCCACACATCTTAAAGTTGCTGAGATTGAGAAATACTGTTTTAGACTGCAGGTAAAGGATTGTATCTTTGGATGTGCCTCTCCAAAACTGAAAATGACAAAAAGTGCTCTTATGTAGTTTTTAGGAGAACATTCCAGCCAGTTTTCTGCTGGTGTGCTTGCTTCAAATGGCGGGGGGGGGGGGGTATTTTTGTCACGAGGAGCTCTTCAACCATCTAATCACTATATTTTGGGGGAAGCTACAAGAGTTGTACTTCTGCAGTGCTGAAAAACACTTAGCCTCTCCAATCAGATTTCAGATGGATACCCTCAGAAGACATTGGCCTAGTAAAGTAGTATCACTGAATCTTGAAAGAATGCTCAGAGAGCAATCTGATATTGACCGATGCATTCACTTGGCTGGGTTAAAATTATTACAATTGAAATACATAATAATAAACATGTATATACATTTCATGAGCCTCCCACTGGAAGACACAACAGTATTCTTTAGTAATCTAGGCCTTATTTTTTTACAATAATGTTAAACTTTGCAGAAATCTCCATGACATGACAGAACAAGAAGGATAATGAATGATGCCTTTTTATGCCGAGAAAACAAATCTTTTAAAGACAGATTACTCTGTTTCTAAATATAGGCTTTTAAGAGTCCATAAAACAAGAGAGAGAGACAAGAGGGCTAAAGTATCAAGCTCTTAGTAGATTAAAAAAAAACGAATGCTTTATTTTATACTACTCTTCCTGAAAAAAAAAGTATCTCTCTTGACTTGGAAAATTTTATTTGTTCTTCCATAAGTTACAAAAACACTACAAATTTCTTTGTCAAACTCTGCATAGGAGGTGCTGACTTGTCCCCAGACATCAGTGGTTTTCTGAAATAGATAAACACACACTAAATATGCTCATCATACCAGTTAGCAAACCAAATTTAACCCATTTTATATAGCCACAAAAAATAAAATCTATGAATAAAATCCATTTCCAGTAATGGAATAAGAAGGGTGATTCTCCCTTTCTCTTACAGATCTACTCTTGTAACCTCAGAATCTCTCTTGAGGGCTTTCCAGAGCAGATTTTGAAGGTATGTAGGACTATTGAGGAGACAAGAAATCAAATCCTACTGAAGAAACACTCAATTTTACCTAGAAACTGTAATCTACTCAACATCAGTTCTAGACAAAATTCTAGAACAAATGCTTAAGCAATCTGTTTAAAAAAACAATGCACTGATGACTTGTATCCATCATGGATTTGTCAAGAATAAGCCATGCCAGCTTTCACCTCACTCTTTATTTACATAATTGCTAGCCAGGTAGGCCATAGGAAATTGTTTGTTTGATCAACTTATATGCCACCTCAATCACAAAGTAACTCCTTATGGGATATTGTGGACATAGATATATCATTCTTTCAGAATATACTATGTAATAATAGTTCATACACACACACACAAATACAGTACTTCCATCACAATATATCATGATTGGTACCTTAACATGGGAGGCCTAAGAAAAGATGTGGTCCCATGAAATTTTCCCCTAAAAGTTACCATTGCTTTAATTTATCCTTTCCTGACTTCCAGGATAAACCTTCCAGCATTTTTTTTTTAATGAGAACAAATCACAAATGTTTCATGGGGTCAAAAGAACATTCACTCACTTTACCTCTTAAGTCTGTAAAGCAGAGATGGAAATCTCTACCAAATATTTCTAGACCTTGAGATTCTTATTTCTTCCCTTCTGATCCATTTGCAAACATTGCAAAGAACAGTGTTTGCTCAGTTGCTCTCATCTCCATCGCTTTCTCAGCACAGGAGCTATAGAAGTAAATGGCACTGAACAAAATGGTGCTGGTTTGATTTTGACTTTTGGCAACAATCCAAATCATCCTTCAAAGAAATATTTGTAACTTTTTGTTCTACCATTTTCCAGCATTCACCTTCATAAGAGGGGAAAAGCTGAACCCCCTTAGGTTTTCAAATGTTCTGACACCAGAGAACAAAATTTACCTCCTCCTAACTATGTCAGCACAATATATATATATTCTGAATTTACATATCATATTCTGAAAGGCTCATAAAATGTATTTGTAGAACTTCATAAAACTCTTTCATTTTAAACCTTGCTCTTCTGAAAGACAAATTTTGTCCCCTACCTAATCCATATTTACTTTTCCAGAAGTGGTGTTTATATTCTGTGTAACTTTTTTCCTGCAAATGAGCTTTATTGCTTCGATGTGTGACTACAGCAGCTTGGCACCAGGGAGTAGAAGGAACCTGTAAAAGAAAAGTTGTGAGATTGACCTATAAAAATGAATAATGTTGAACTGTATGCCTTGATTTTAAAGTAAAGAATGAGAGAGCTACAGTTATAGGATCATTCGACATTTTGTCCACACAGGCCTTCTCTTCAGTAGAATAGGGTCTTATATCCTTAATTTACTGTACAACCTGTGCTGAAACCTGTAAGGACAAAGGTCTGTCATGACCTTCTGTTGACAACTTTTCATATCTACTTCAAAGAAGAGGACTTCTAGGAGAGATGGAAATGGGTTCAGGCACATCTCAAAAAGCAGAGGTTCTAAGGTTGGGACACAACATGTGTAACTCATACATACCTACTGACCCTTGGTTCCTGAAAGCAAGGGAAGATTTCCAATCTGCTCCTGGATGGTTTGAGAGTATCATCAGGGAGCAAATTTAGCCTGGGGGAACAGACAAGTCAAAAATGTGGACAGTTATGTAATTTAATGTTCTTGCATATAAAAGAATAAAAACATATTTTTGAAAAGCTCCTTCCTCATAGAAACTGGGCATCAGGAAAAAAGGTTACTCTAGCCTACTTTTGGACATGTACCTTTACATAAAGGGATTTTTTTTAAATGAGAAACAGATGATCATGTGAGCTTTGCCAGAGTCTGAAGTGGCCTTTTTCAGACATTATATATACACACACACACACACACACACATACACACATACACACACACACATTATATGTATGTATGTATGTATGTACGTATGTATGTATGTGTACATATACATATCTTCTTACATGAGGTACACACAAAAAAATCATTCCTGGCACACAATGTAAATTTAATGACATCATTGCAGTTGTACTAATGACTACTTTGGCTCATTAACAATAAAAGCTCCAATTCCTCTGGGAGGCTCTAATGTCATCTGTTGACTAGTCTAACTTTAGAATTGCTCCCCTTAAGCTCCTGCGTCCCTAACTTCCGAGAACGCCTTCCTATCATGTCCTAAAAATCCTGAAGTCTGGCTTTTGTCCTGTTTTATTTCCCATTAAAAGCTCAATGAAGTTACAATTTCTAAAACTCCATGTAACCTCCCCGCAAACCCTAAGCCCTCACTAAAATAATAGTCCCAACCAGTTAACTATACCAATAAACTGACTTCATCCTTTTTTTATATAGTCTCCAGAATGTAACCATAAGGATAAAAAAGTTTGCACAAGCTGTTCATCTGCATAATTAATAACAGAGGCCCTGAGAACAGTTGGAACATTTCTGGAGGAGACCTAGAGCATATCACTGTTAACAGTAGTAACAGAGGCACAGATTTCCAAGAACTGCAAATAGCAGAAGGGTGAGCGGCTCATCGAACAGAAACAAACAAAAAGGGGGAAAGAAATCCATAAAGTCTGACCTATTGCAAAGGGACATTGGCCCACCCAACTCTTACGCTTGCTTCTCCCAACCCACATATTGGGATATGGCTCCAGAGTTATAAGACTCTGATTTACAGCAGTTGCAGACCCAGTTTTGAAAGTGGACAGGAGTAGTGCATAAAAGAAAATTCAGAAGTAGTACAAACCACAGCTGTGCTGACCTACCAGTAAACCTATCACCAACTCACACTGAATCGTTGAGCAAATTGCAGATTCGGTCTTGGGGAAAGCACTGAGAAATTTCAAGGAAAAAAAAATCAATAAGGTGAGCAGAAGATATCAGCAAAGGACTGTTTACTCTGATCAGAAATCCTAGGAAATATTAGTCATGATATCCATGCAGGCCAGTTCCCTCTCACCAATTGGGCATTTGGGAGTCTTGCAGAAATGCTGTGCCATGAAAAATGCATATACCCAGGACCATTATTACAGACTTTTGCTTTAATCAAAACTTCAAAAAATTCCAACAGGGGAAATATTTGAGGAATTTCAGAAAAAGAAAAAGACTTCAGGACTACTAATGATATTTTTTCAGAATTTCAGCAAGGAGAGTTAGGGGCACTGAAATTTGAAACCTAAAAAATGTTAAAGTCCCTCTTCTGCTAAAAAAAATATCAAGGAAGCTTAATAGCCCAGAAATTATTAAATCCAGGCAGCTTATTTTATGCTTATGTATGTGTGAAAATCTAGCAAATCCTGAAAAGGGAAGATGTCAACTATTTTCTGTTTTTAAAGAATTCAGTCATTTTATAGTTAAGAGTCACTTTAATTTAGAAAGGGGGGGGGGGTGTTCCAGAAAGTTGTTTTTAATTCAAGACTAGAATGGCAGACTCCATCATTGTTTGAGAAAATCCATTGTTTTTATGGAAAGAAACCCTAGATTGAAAAGAATGTAAGTAGAAACAGACAATGCTATTTCCAGTTTATCTTACTTTTTAATGTTTTCCAGTCTTACATTTATTTGCCACATTTCCACAATAGTTTGAGATCTTGGGGTGGGGTGGGGTGGGGGGGAAAGAGGGGAATCTCTAAAAAAGTTCTGCATTTTCTTACATTTCCTAGGGTGCTTGCATTTTTCAATATTCTTTTTTAATAATAGAACATTCTTAGGCACATGGTATACATTTTGTACATATTTTGGTGTGCATTTTTAAAATAGAGGCCTGCTTTGTAAAATTAAGAGAAGTGTTAAAACTGCTTAGGACGTCATTTCAGTCTTAGCCCCAGCATGGGAAATACAAATTTGGCAGATTGGAACAGGCAATATAATACATGTAGACACCAATTAGTCAACATTCCTAGATCCTTTGCTTTGCCTGACTTGAATTATTCTGTGAAATATTTGAATTCAATCAATCAATCAAAGTTTATTGTGGTCTTAGACTAGTATAAGGATGATGCTCTGTGAAAGTATATATAGTCTATTTTAAAATAATAGCAACCTGGAATAAAATAAAATTAAATGTTAAAATTAAATTAAAATACATTTATAAAACTATCTAACTAAACTCTGTGGGTGCAATCTAAGGTGCAGCCTGTACTAGGTGAAAATATAGTCACTAAGATTATGTTAAATACAAAATGTAAAATGTAAGTAAATGTTTGAATTAAAATAAAACGTTGCATGGGAAGACTGCATGCTGCAGTGTACACTGAATGCCTCTCAAGTAAAATCTCCTACGAGGTCGTGCCTTGATAGATACGTCCCTGTCATTGGCTTGTCCACAAAACTGAAGTGTCTTGCCACAACTGACTTCTCCCCAGTTTCTATTTTCTCATCCAACCTACAGCCCGGGTATTCCAAGGCAGTCTTTCCTCCAAGTCCTAACCAAGTTCAAGTCCAAATATGGGCCTTGGAATACAAATGAGGTGGGTTTATGCAAACATAAGCAGCCGCCTTTCTTGCTGCCTGTTGAGATTGCTGCTTCACCGGACTTTGATTATTTTGAAGCATATTCTAAGTAAAATGAGACACTAAATGAACAGTTCAAACTGCCAGCCTCTAAGTTAAATTGCTCAATTCCTGGCAACTTCACGAGCCACATCCATGTGTTTTTCTTGGTAATAATAGAATCGGGTTGCCGTCACCTTCTAAGACACTTTGTGACTTCTCAATCTAGCCTACAACCCTGGGACATCCTGGCTAACGCATTCTGCCATACTCTTAAAACCGATTATAAATTTCCATGACTTTTGTCTCTGCACCATTTGCT